GAGCACCTATGCTTATAAGCTGATCACACATTTCCACAGCTTCAGATCTTAAAATATATCCATCTGCCATTCTATCAAGAAGGTTGAAGTGTGTTTATCAAGGTAGAAAAAGGACAAGTTTCTAACAAGATAAAGAGAAGAAAAATATAGAAAATAGCCTCTTATTAAAACTTTTATTTTGAGAGGCAACCTCGGCAAATAACCTACCTAAGAGAAAGATGGCATGTCTACTGCTTGTTGAAAGTAGTGGGACAGCTGTGTAGCCACCATTAGTGAAAAAGATCAAGGAAGCAGCTGAATGTTGCAGTCTGGCAGACAGACCCTTACCCTCCAAGAGGGAGATTACAAACCTCTAATCTAGAGAACTTGACCAAACCAGACAGTCACATGGACATGGGGACTGCCAAAAAAGCCCATCCAGATAACCCAAAAGACAACCCCTTTCCACAAATCCAAGGCTTTCCAAGCTTTTTGGTCCTCCATTCGACCATAAGAAGACAGCCAAGGATTACCGAACGTCCAGGAAAAGACTAAAATATAGAAAACAGAAATACATACACACAGAAAGAAGAAATTGGGAAAAAACAGATACGCAAGGAAACAATTTCAAAAGAAAAAAAATACAAAAACTATAATGAATACCTTTAGTGGTAAGAGAACAAATCCACAGATAAAAGCATAAAATAATAGAGGGTACTATATAAGAAAATAAACTTCCACCAAATCAAAAAGGCTTCTCAAGATTTTAAAATATAATAGGAAAGAAGAGTTGGAGATTGAGTGAAAAGCTAAAAATCAAAGGGGGTAGAGGGTAAGAAAATAGATACTGAGTCCTGGATATCCATCATCTAAATACTCGTTTCAGAAAGCAGAGGAAACTAAGTCAGTGAATGCTCAATTTCCCAGAACTGACAGAACGAGTTACACTGTAAGGGATCACCAAAAGCCCAAAACAATGGATAAATACAGACCCATCTCACACCAAGGCACATCACCATGAAATTTATACAAGGAGCAGAAATCAAATGGCTTTGGATTTCGCAATACACCACTGGAAATAAGAAGACAGGGGAGTAACAACACCTTTAAATTCTGAAGGAAAATTATTCCCCATTTAAAACTCTATAAAGTATCAATCAAACGTGATAGAAATACGACTTCTCAAAAATTTTACCTCCACACACTCTCTCTAGAACGTACCAGTGAAACAAATTAGTAACCAATAAAACAAAAAACATGGAATCCAGAATACAGCTGAGCACAGGAAAGTTCCAGGATAGCTAAGCACTAGAGGGCAGAGCTGAGCATAATTCAGTTGACAAGCGGAGGGTTGCCTTCATTACACACAGGCTGTTACCACTCTTTTCACCCTGAGGAACAGCATGTCCCACTTGAGTGTGAACCAAATTACATGTATGCTTCAGCTGCATGGATTAGCAAGGACACTCATCACCCCACCGAGGTATTCTGTTTTGACTTACTCCTAAGAGCTGGAGTTTTTGACACATCAGAAAATAGTTTACTTCCTCTGACCACATTTCTGCCAGGTATCAATTACCCAGACCACACTATAAACCTGCCAGCTGGCCCGTGGTGAGCCTTCCGTTTAGCAGAACTCACTCATACATAACCTTAGCCATGATCTTCCTCAAAAGTGGCTACTGTGAACTCCTAGGGAAGGTGAAGCCAGACTATGACTCCCAGGGACTGTTTAGCCTTCATGTAATAATGGCAATATTGCCCTTTTATCCTTGCTAACAGGTTTTTCAAAACTAAATATATTGTTTAAGACTATATATGTAGGCAATAAACTAAAAGAAATACAAAGGAATTATTAACACAAAGTCAGGATAGCGCCTACATCTG